GCATATTATTTTGCGAGAACATAATATATATATATATATATGCAGACCTTTGTTCGAAAATTATTTAAATTTAACATCGCCAATACCATTAACAGCAAAAACAAAAACACCGTTCGCTCACATTATATCAAAAATATAAAATGCCTCCGAACACATTTAGCTACAAAAAAATCAAAGTAACACCAAACTCAATTAAATTTTTCTAGCCATTAGATGTTGCCAAAAATGTAAATATTTGATAATGAAACGAGGCAAATACAAGCACACTCGCATACCCACCCATTCACACACAAATATGCCCATTTATTTTCGGCCAAACAATTCGGTGTAGCCATTATTTACTTATTGTCTATCAGCCTTGCGGGTAGACAATAAAAATGTGTGGCCATGTATGTGTGTGTGTCTGCTCATTTTAAAAATAACGAATTCACGAACTTTATATATATTTGGCAGGACGCATATTATAGTACAGTGAAATGTGTTTGCCTTTTATTTGTACGAACGACTATGTGTGTTTGTGCGAGAGTATGTGTCAAATTTGATTTTATTTAAACTTTACATACTCATCAGAAACACACGCGCACACACGGAGAGACATTAAATGAAAATACGTTAGACTTATAACGTCCTTTTGTCTGTTGTATATGTATGTATGTTTGTGTGTGGGTTATATCCTGCAAATATTACCACAAGCATCAACGCAGTTACTTATACAAACATTCGAACATTCAGATACGCATACCCACACACATGCAGTTTTTTTGCCCCACCATGATCAATATTGAATTTTGTTACAAATACCATAAACGTAATTGTATTTGGTTCGTTGTCCGCAACATTCTGTCTATCTATCGCGTTTACAGTTCATTTTGTCAAACCCGTTTTGTCCCTGCCCACTCCGTCATAGTGACTATCCTCAGTTTTGTTACATTGGTTTGATGGTTGGTAGCCGGCAGAGTGATGTGTCTAAGTGGCCTGGTTGGTATATTGGTGATTTTTAATTAAATAAAAATTTTCATCACCATTATATTAGCGCCCTGAACGACAAAAAAATCGAAATAGTGTGTGTGTGTATGAGAGACAGAAGGGGTGAGGTTAGGTGAATTTATTTGGGATGTAAATGAAAAAGCAGTCTTTAGCCTATCTCAATATTAGAAGGGTATTTAATTTGATGGCCTGGATGAAGGAAATCATATGGGGAAGAATTTTCAGGGACTTTAAGAGCTATAAGACGTGGATTTTTTAATGAGGCGTGGACTTTTTAAGGATATTTTTTCAAGGCTCTTATAAGGCGTGGATTTTTTAAAGAATATTTTTTCAAGGCTCTTATAAGGCGTGGATTTTTTAAGAATATTTTTTCAAGGCTCTTATAAGGCGTGGATTTTTTAAAGAATATTTTTTCAAGGCTCTTATAAGGCGTGGATTTTTTAAAGAATATTTTTTCAAGGCTCTTATAAGGCGTGGATTTTTTAAAGAATATTTTTTCAAGGCTCTTATAAGGCGTGGATTTTTTAAAGAATATTTTTTCAAGGCTCTTATAAGGCGTGGATTTTTTAAAGAATATTTTTTCAAGGCTCTTATAAGGCGTGGATTTTTTAAAGAATATTTTTTCAAGGCTCTTATAAGGCGTGGATTTTTTAAAGAATATTTTTTCAAGGCTCTTATAAGGCGTGGATTTTTTAAGGAATATTTTTTCAAGGCTCTTATAAGGCGTGGATTTTTTAAGGATATTTTTCAAGGCTCTTATAAGGCGTGGATTTTTTAAAGAATATTTTTCAAGGCTCTTTTAAGGCGTGGATTTTTTAAGGATATTGTTTTAAGGTTTAAACAAGGTGTGGATTTTTTAAATATCTTTTCAAGGCCTAAACAAGGTGTGGATTTTTTAAAGAAAATTTCTTCAAAGACCCAGACAGACAAGGCGTGGATTTTTTAAAGAATGTTTTTTTCAGGCCTAAACAAGGTGTGGATTTTTTTAAGAATATTTTTTCAAGGCCTAAACAATGTGTGGATTTTTGAAAAAATGTTTTTATAAAGAATTTTTTCAAGGTTGTTATTAGGCGTGTATTTTTTAAAATATTTTTTCAAGACTCATATATCGACGTGGATTTTTTAAAATAACTTTTTAAGGGTCATATGTATTTAAGGATATTTTTTCAAAGCTCATATTTATACCCTTCACCACACTGTGGTACAGGGTATTATGTCTTTGTGCATATGTTTGTAACAGGCAAAAGGAAACAAGATAGACACATGGTTCCTTGCATAGAATCATTTTCTAAGTCGATTTATGCATGTTCGACTGTCTGTCCATTTTAAATTGTAAACAAACATAAATGCGACCTGTTTTGGTCCAAATTGGATGCAATTTGGCACAGCTCATCTACTTGTCCCAAGGACCAACCCTTTTGTAATTAGGAAAAATCGGTTCGGATTTAGATATAGCTCCCATATATATGTTCGCACGATATAATGTAAATGGTGCACCAAAGTACCTATATATATATTGCGATTTGCACGAAATTTGGTATAGGGTACTGAATTAGGTCTACAATGATGTGTGTTAAGTTTCGTGAAAAATCGGTTCTGATTTAGACATAGCTTCCATATATATTTTCGTCCGATTTCATGTAAATGGTGCACCAAAGTCCCTATATATCTTTCAATTTGCACGAAATTTGGCATAGCGTAATGAATTAGCTCTAGAATAATGTGTGTTAAGTTTCCTGAAAATCGGTCCAGATGTAAATGGTGTACCAAAGACCCTATATATCTTTCGATTTGCACGAAATTTGGCATAACGTACTGAATTGAGACTATAATGATGTGGTTAAAATTTGTTGAAAATCGGTTCGGATTTATATATAGCTCATATATATATATATATATATATATAGTCCGATTTTATGTCAATGGTGCACCAAAATCCAAATATATTTCTGTCGATTTGGACGAAATTCGGCATAGCGTACTGAATTGCGTCTAGAATGATGTGTGCTAAGATTCGTTAATATCGGTTCAGATTTAGATATAGCTCACATATATATGTTCGCACGATTTAATGTAAATGGTGCACCAAAGTACCTATATATCTTGCGATTTCCACGAAATTTGGTATAGGGTACTGATGAGTGGTGAGTGGTGAGTTTCGGGAAAATCGGTTTATATTTAGATATAGCGCCCATATCTTGATTCGATTTATTGTAAATAGTGCACCAACGTCCTTATATATCCTTCGTTTTGCACAAAATATGGCATAGTGTACTGAAATGAATTTATGATACGAATTGGATGAAAGTTGGCATAGATCACTTATCTGACCCAAGGACGAAACTCAATATGGGAAAATTCGGTTCAGATTTAGATATAGCTCCCATGTATAGTTTCGTTCGATTTGCAGTAAATGGTGTACCAAAATATGGTCTATTGACACCAAATTCTGCACAACGTACTGAAGTTAGTATAACCAACGGTGTGGAGAGTTTCGCTTAAATCGGTTCAGATTTAACTCCCATATATAGTTTCGTCACATTTTCAGTAAATGGGGCACCAAAACTCCAAAATGTGGCCGAATGGCACAACTTTTTGCAGAACGTTCTGAAGTTAGTGTAACCTACGGAGTGGAAAGGTTCAGATTTATATATAGCTCCCATATAGATATACAAATATGGCTTATTGACACCAAATTCTGCACAACGTACTGAAGTTAGTATAACCAACTGTGTGGAAAGTTTCGCTGTAATCGGTTCAGATTTAGCTCCCATATATAGCTGTCAAATTTTCAGTAAATGTGGCACCAAAGCTCCAAAATATGGCCGATTGGCACAAAATTTTGCAGAACTTTCTGAAGTTAGTGTAACCTACGTTGTGGAAAGGTTCACATTTAGATATAGCTCCCATATACAGTTTCGTCCGATTTTCATTTGATGGTTCACCACAGAATTGATCTAAGTCGGTTCACATTTAGATGAATATCAAATATTTTAATTCATCCAATTTTATGTTAATGGTCCTGTTGGATACACCCAAAGTGATGAAGGGTATCATAAAGTCGGCCCCGTCCGACTTTACTTCTTTCCTTACTGGTTTTACATGAATTTTATTTAAAAAAAATATAATTTTAGATAGCTGGATCTCTTAAATATTTTCAAGGGTTACATGTGGGCATGTTGATTTCAAGCATCTGATTGTCTTTAATAAATTTTATCAATAATATATATTGATAAAATTTATTAAAGACTACCAGATGTTTGAAATCAACATGAACATGATTTTTCGTTTGAAATCTCCTAATTTAGGTGTGTGGGTCCTTGACAGAAACAGAATTACACAAATTCTGTTTATACTCTATAATTATTAAAATAATGAGCTAAATGTAATTACCGTTTTTATCAGTCACAAGTTATTAATTTTTTTTCGTTGCCACCATTAGCTAAGTAAATAAGTATTTGTAATGACCCTATTTGTAATAATAACAATAATATTCGTCTACAGTTAATACAATATTTAATGGCCTAAATAAATCTAATGAATTATTAATGGCAATTTATTTTCTTATTACAGTTTTAGGATATTATTACACTGGCATACAAATTGTTAGTAATTTCTGCGCACACAAAAATTAAATTTAACCCTTTAAGAGACGGTCAAGTTTTAATGAAATTTTAAACAAAAAATTTCGCAACCTTAAATAATTAGCCGTCAACTTAATGAGATTATTTTCTCCTTAAATCCTATCTCCTCCCAACCCCTGTCTACATCCTTAATCACAATCACCATCATCCTCATTAATATCCTTGCATTTATACAAATTTATTTATATCATCTACCATCTGTTACGCTTTTAATGTTCTCCCCGATATAATTGTTGTTGTTTAGTTTTACTTTTGTACCTCTATTTGTAATTCCTCCCTTCCCTTAGTGGGAAAAATAAATTGTAATTAATAAAATTATATTTTTTATATATTTGGGAATTTGTTTATTTTTTTGCGATTTCGTTTTAGGTGCCGCCCACGAATCAAACTAGAAAAGAGGGCGAAAAGGTGATATTCTCATGTGAAGCTAAGGCTATGCCTGGCAATGTCACCGTACGATGGTTTCGTGAGGGCTCACCCGTTAGAGAGGTGGCCTCATTGGAGACACGCATTACAATACGCAAAGATGGTTCGCTAATTATAAATCCCGTTGGTGCCGACGATTCGGGCCAGTATTTGTGCGAAGTAACAAATGGTATTGGTGATCCCCAGAGTGCATCGGCATATTTGAATGTTCTGTGTAAGTAAACATTTTTTAAAAACATTTTTCAGGTATTATAAAGAGGGGTGGATTTTTTAAAAATATTTTTCGGGGGTTATAAAAGGCGTGGATTTTTTAAAAATATTTTTCGGGGGTTATAAAAGGCGTGGATTTTTTAAAAATATTTTTCGGGGGTTATAAAAGGCGTGGATTTTTTAAAAATATTTTTCCAAGGGTCTTATAAAGTCGTGAATTTTTAAAAATAATTTTACAAGGGTCTTATAAAGGCGTGGATTTTTAAAAAAAATATTTTCTAGGGCCTTATAAAGGCGTGGATTTTTTAAAAAATATTTTTCGTTGATTTTTTAAAAATATTTTTTAAAGGCGTGGATTTTTTAAAAATATTTTTTTAAAGGCGTGGATTTTTATAAAATTTTTTTTTTTAAAAAATCCAAGCCTTTAAAAAATATTTTTTAAAGGCGTGAATTTTTTTAAAATATTTTTTAAAGGCGTTGATTTTTTAAGAATATTTTTTAAAGGCGTGGATTTTTTAAGAATATTTTTTCAAGGGTCTTATAAAGGCGTGGATTTTTAAAAATAATTTCTAAAGCATACCCACAAGGCGTAGATTTTTAAAAATATTTTTTTCAAGTGTCTTATAAAGGCGTGGATTTTTTAAAAATATTTTTTCAAGGGTCTTATAAAGGCGTGGATTTTTAAAAATAATTTTCCAAGGGTCTTATAAAGGCGTGGATTTTTTAAAAATATTTTTTCAAGGGTCTTATAAAGGCGTGGATTTTTTAAAAATATTTTTTCAAGGGTCTAATAAATGTGTGGATTTTTTAAACATATTTTTTCAATGTTATAACGTCGACTAGGCGTGGATTTTTTAAAAATATTTTTTAAAGGCGTGAATTTTTTAAAAATATTTTTGAAAGGCGTGGATTTTTTAAAAAAATATTTTTTAGAGTTGGGGATTTTTTTAGAAAATGTTTTAAAGGCGTGGATTTTTTTAGAAATTTTTTTAAAGGCGTGGATTTTTAAAAATATTTCCAGGCGTGGATTTTTAAAAATATTTTTTAAAGGCGTGGATTTTTAAAAATATTTTTTAAAGGCGTGGATTTTTAAAAATATTTTTTAAAGGCGTGGATTTTTAAAAATATTTTTTAAAGGCGTGGATCGGGGGTTATAAAAGGCGTGGATTTTTAAAAATATTTTTTAAAGGCGTGGATTTTTAAAAATATTTTTTAAAGGCGTGGATTTTTAAAAATATTTTTTAAAGGCGTGGATCGGGGGTTATAAAAGGCGTGGATTTTTTAAAAGGTCTTAAAAAGGCTTGGATTTTTCAAAATACAGGCGCGAATTGTTTAATAGATTTTTTCAAGGGTCTTATAAAGGCTTGGATTTTTCAAAATATAGGCGTGGATTTATAAAAACAAATTTAAAGGGTCTTTTAAAGGCTTGGATTTTTCAAAATATAGGCATGGATTTTTTAGAAAATTTTTGTCAAGACCATAGAATCCCTAAAAATTCCCAAGCCCTTCATTGCCCTTCTGAAGAAGTTGATATTTTCAATCGCCATATTTTTTGGAATTTTAATTAAATATTTCCTTTTCCCCGTTTTTCAGATTCTGCCAAAGTGACCTTTACACCCACTGTACAATTTTTAAAAAATATTTTTTAAAGACGTGGATTTTTTAAAAATATTTTTTAAAGGCGTGGATTTTTTAAAAATATTTTTTAAAGGCGTGGATTTTTAAAAATATTTTTTAAAGGCGTGGATTTTTAAAAATATTTTTTAAAGGCGTGGATTTTTAAAAATATTTTTTAAAGGCGTGGATTTTTAAAAATATTTTTTAAAGGCGTGGATCGGGGGTTATAAAAGGCGTGGATTTTTAAAAATATTTTTTAAAGGCGTGGATTTTTAAAAATATTTTTTAAAGGCGTGGATTTTTAAAAATATTTTTTAAAGGCGTGGATCGGGGGTTATAAAAGGCGTGGATTTTTTAAAAGGTCTTAAAAAGGCTTGGATTTTTCAAAATATAGGCGTGGATTTTTTTTTTTAAAAATAAAGGGTCTTTTAAAGGCTTGGATTTTTCAAAATATAAGCGTGGATTTAAAAAAAAATTAAAGGGTCTTTTAAAGGCTTGGATTTTTCAAAATATAGGCGTGGATTTTTTTGAAAATATTTGTCAAGACCATAGAATCCCTAAAAAATCGGAAGCCCTTCATTGACCTTCTGAAGAAGTTGATATTTTCTGTCACCTTATTTTTTGGAATTTTAATTAAATATTTCCTTTTCCCCGTTTTTCAGATTCTGCCAAAGTGACCTTTACACCCACTGTACAATATCTACCATACGGTTTGGCCGGTGTTGTTCAGTGTTACATTAAATCGAATCCTCAGCTACAATATGTCACTTGGACCAAAGACAAACGTCTACTGGAACCGTATCAAGTGAAAGACGTCGTTGTTATGGCCAATGGTTCGTTGCTCTTTACCCATGTTACGGAAGAGCATCAGGGACGTTATACCTGTCAACCGTATAATTCTGAGGGTTCACAGGGAGCCTCCGGTACGATGGAAGTGTTGGTCCGTAAACCACCCACATTTACCGTTGAACCTGAATCGCTGTATCAGCGTAAAGTTGGCGACAGTGTCGAAATGCACTGTGACGCTGTGGAGGCTGAGGGCACCCAAAAACCCACAATCAAATGGCAACGACAGGGCGGTGAACAACTATCCGATACACAACGTAATCGGGTACGCATCTCTGGGGGTAACATTACCATTGAGAATTTACGTCGTGAGGATTTTGGCTATTATCAATGCGTTGTCTCTAATGAAGTAGCAACTCTAATGTCGCAAACTCAACTAGTTATCGAAGGTACACAACCGCATGCACCCTACAATATAACCGGCAAGGCAACCGAATCATCGATCACGTTACAATGGATGCCGGGCTACAGTGGCGGTTCGGAATATAAGCAAGACTATACGATTTGGTATCGTGAAGCGGGTGCTACCGATTGGCAAACGATATCGGTTACACCATCGGGTAGTACAGAAGTAACGATCAATGGCTTAGCATCGGGTACTACCTATGAATTTCAGGTGGTCGGTCGCAATGTGCTTGGCGACGGTATGATGAGCAAAGTGATGACCGTACGGACAGTGGGTAAGTTGAACGTTAAACAGTTCTGTTTTGTTCGTTTGTCTTGTGACTATACTACTACTTCTTTTTGGTATTCTTTTTGTGGTTTTAGTTTTTATTATTTTAATTTTGAGTTTTCTGTTTTGTCAACTAGTTTTCTATCAATCTATCTATCTCTCTCTCTATCGTATATCTCTTTATATAATATGTTGGTATATTTTCGATTTCAATTTAAATTTTAAAATAAAATATTAATGCTTTATATGCACCATATCATTAATTATTATTATTATAACCATTGTGGCTGATAGTTAAGTGGAGTTTTTGAAAAATATTAGTGGAAATATAAATTAATTTCTAATATATATATAAAAAAATCAAAAAAAAAAATTTCATGAATTTTTTTTAAGGCTTTGGACTCTGATAATTATTTTTTTAAAAATATATTTTTTCATGGGTCATTTATAGGCGTGGATCTTTTAAAAATATTTTTTCATGGGTCATTTATAGGCGTGGATTTTCTAAAAATATTTTTTTATGGGTCATTTATAGGCGTGGATTTTTTAAAAATATTTTTTCATGGGTCATTTATAGGCGTGGATTTTTTAAAAATATTTTTTCATGGGTCATTTATAGGCGTGGATTTTTTAAAAATATTTTTTCATGGGTCATTTATAGGCGTGGATTTTCTAAAAATATTTTTTTATGGGTCACTTATAGGCGTGGATTTTTTAAAAAAATGTTTTCATGGGTCATTTATAGGCGTGGATTTTTTAAAAATATTTTTTCATGGGTCATTTATAGGCGTGGATTTTTTAAAAATATTTTTGCATGGGTCATTTATAGGCGTGGATTTTTTAAAAATATTTTTTCATGGGTCATTTATAGGCGTGGATTTTTTAAAAATATTTTTGCATGGGTCATTTATAGGCGTGGATTTTTTAAAAATATTTTTTCATGGGTCATTTTTTAAAAATATTTTTGCATGGGTCATTTATAGGCGTGGATTTTTTAAAAATATTTTTTCATGGGTCATTTATAGGCGTGGATTTTCTAAAAATATTTTTTCATGGGTCATTTATAGGCGTGGATTTTTTAAAAATATTTTTTCATGGGTCATTTATAGGCGTGGATTTTTTAAAAATATTTTTTCATGGGTCATTTATAGGCGTGGATTTTTTAAAAATATTTTTTCATGGGTCATTTATAGGCGTGGATTTTTTAAAAATATTTTTTCATGGGTCATTTATAGGCGTGGATTTTTTAAAAATATTTTTTCATGGGTCATTTATAGGCGTGGATTTTTTAAAAATATTTTTTCATGGGTCATTTATAGCCGTGGATTTTTTAAAAATATTTTTTCAAGGGTCCCCCTGAGCCGTGGATTTTTTAAAAATATTTTTCAAGGGTCCCCCTGAGCCGTGGATTTTTTAAAAATATTTTTTCAAGGGTCATTTATAGGCGTGGATTTTTTAAAAAAATGTTTTCATGGGTCATTTATAGGCGTGGATTATTTGTTTGAGGGTAAAATAAAGGCGTAATTTTTTTAAAAATATTTTTTCATGGGTCATTTATAGGCGTGGATTATTTGTTTGAGGGTAAAATAAAGGGGTAATTTTTTTAAATATAGTTATCCGATTATTCCCATTCTAGGATTTAAAAAAAATATTTTTTTCTAAGAGTTTAAAGTAAAAGCCTTAGCTTTTCAGCCAAAATGAAAATACAAAAAAACCCTCACCTCGAATTATTTGCTCATCAAAAACTCCACTTAACTCCAGCCTTCGTATCAATAAATTAACAAACCAACCAAACCCAAATCAAAAATATAAAATAAAACTAATGGAATTGGCCTTTAACCATTTTACTAAATCAATATATCTATGTTTTTTCTTCTCTTGTTTTCTTTTTTTATATATCTTTACTTTTCTTGTTTCATCTCAAATCTTACATTTTGGTTTTGAAAATAAAACCACTGCCACCAACGCCACCACCACCACCACCGTTAACCACCGTTTCGTTTCGTTGTCGACCATATCTATCTCGAATCAAATTCAATCAAATCAAATAAATCGCTCTGTACCAAAATCAAACTATCTATCTATCTCTCTCTATATATATTTTATCTGTTCATATCGAATCACATTGCAACAACCAACCAATCAATCAACAAATACCAAAAAAAAAAAAAAAAAAAACATCGCCAACCAAAAACAAAAAACCTCGAAATGTGAAAATGTGATAAATGAAAATAAACGTAAACGTACGACATACGAATAAAACGAATCCCTAATGAAACGAAAATGTTGAAATTTGAATTTTTATTTGACTAACCTCAAAATAAAACACACACACACATACATGCAAATTGTTGATGTTGTTGTATGTATTGCAAACGAAACGTACGAACGAAAATTCAAATTCAACAGAAGCTCCCCCGGCACGTAATGTCAAGGCTGCAACACAACCGCCCGATCATGTATTCCAACTAATGCCAGACGAAGCTGGTAAGAAAATTCAAAAAACAAACTAAAAAATTAAATTAGTACAAAACATTAAACAAACATATTATTTAGTTTAGAACTGTAAAAAAATAATTAAAAAAATAATTTTTGTAAAAAAATATATTTTAAAAAAGCTCTTTTTCCCAAGCAAGTGGGGGAAAAATACGCAAAGACTAGGGATTTTTCTAATTTTAATTTTTTTTTTCATTTTTATTTTTTAATTTAAAACCTTGATGCTTAATTGCCCTAGGAAGGTGATTACATACAACCAAACAACACTCCAAGACTAGGGAATATTTTTCAATGTAGTTTTTCTTTTTTTAATTCAACACCTCGGTTCTTGATTTTTATGCCCTCGAAAAAAAAAACAAAAATAACGTAATTATCCAAATTTTGTACCAATGACCTATTTTTAAATTTTAAGTGTAAGTGTGACTCTGAAAAAAAAATTAAAAAAATCTCGTTATTGTTGTTCTTGCTATGATTGTTCTATTGTTGCATGTACTAACGAACTAAATATTTTGGAAGCATGATTCTTCCACTAACCACCTCCAACTACTTACCTTCACCACCAAACCAACCAACCATTTAGCAACCACTACTACCTTTTCTTCTTGTTTCTATACTACTGCCACACTACAACTACTACTACAACAACTATAAAACAAATACTTACGCTTCCTATGGCCACATCTTAGCTAAAAAAGGATTTAATTGAAACAACAACAAAAAACGTAGAACACAAATTCTACGAAAAGAAAACAACAAAGAAACTGGTAAATGATATTTACCTTTTTGTTGCTTTTAGGTCATATCAGAGCATGGCCTCGACTATTTTAACCATTTCGGCTGTTGTCCTTCATTCAAGTGGGTTAACTCAAAACCTCAAATGCTGTTTCGTGGTCTTGACCACTACCACCACCACCAGCACTCCCACCAACGCCTACATCATTTGGCCCTACACCCTCCCAAAGTATGTTAAAATGTGTTGTACTGACCTACTAAAGGGTTCACTACAATCAGCAAACATTTTTTTCTCTTTGTTGCTTCATTAAGAAGCCAACGATGATGCCTCGGCTGTTTGGCCATGTAGATCAGCTTAACACAAATATACCAATACTATCTGGCCAATATCTCTTTAATGAAAATGAAACACAAATATACTCCCCCTCTTCTTTTTGTTGGTGTTTATCTTGGTTCTTTTAAAATCATTTATTTTTTCTTTAATTTGACTTTGAGTTGTAGTTCAGAACTTAAATTCTATGATAAGTTTTCAAAAAATCCAATTTTATGAACAATTTAAACCAAACTGTACAAGTCTTATATTCCGAACCCCAAACAATATTTAAATATAATTCATATTTTACAACTAGAATATGTATATTTATTGGTCTATAACGCACAGGCGTATATTTATTTTACTGTGACGTATAAAAATATTCCACAACTATTTATAAGGATAAGACAATTCATCCGTCTCCTTTGGATAACATTAAAATTCCCTTGTTATCCATCACAACTATGTTGTGTGGGTATCATAAGTTTGCGTGTCCCAAAGATCCACTTTTTAGTATATCGATTGTCATATCTCGACTAGATGTTCGTCTGCCTATTGTAAGTTGTTTATTGAAGATCGAAATCTTGAGATCTCCCATGGCGATATTAATATACAACATCCATTGTATTAATTTCTTGTTTAAGTTCCCAATGATCTTATAATAAGCAAATAGAATAGTATGATATAGGACAAATAATTATGGAGAATTTGACCAGAAAATATGGATGTGGAACTATTTTGCAAAACCCCCTTCTGAGAATACATTTTATGAAACTGCTGAGGATTTGTATCTATAGTCTCATTATAACCAGTAGGGAAAGGTCAAAAGTCGTAAGGAGCCGAGTATATGATAAACTTTACCACTTTAAGTATATACAAGAAATTATCATATGTATTATATCCTGTGGATAGATCAGACGTATCATCTTTGGAGGACCATTGTAATTGGATCGGAAGAAATGAAATGTAATGGGATCGCAAGAAATGAAAATATCTTCATAGATATTTGAACTACTTTAAAACAAACCATATACATACCTATCTGAAATCTATGAAAAATTCAATGTCAATCGGGTAGACATGGGTTCTTTGGTGTACCAGTTCTTTGAAATCGAGCACTTACTGATCTAACGTGGCATATACCACCTAGTATGCTGCAGCACAAGGAGTCTGTCCAAATGAAAATATATTGGGGAGTTATATCTGAATCTCCGATTTCAACAAAACTTAATACACGTCAATCCAGACTCAATTTATACCATCGTGCAAATCGTACAGGATTTATGGTGCATCGTTTGCATAAAAACGAACTAAAGAATATATGGGGCTATGTCTAAATCTTTATCGAAATTAAACTTAACATAAAACATTCGAGATTAATTCGTTCACCATGTACATAAAATCTTACGAAAGTATATATGGGAGCTATATCTGATGCTGAACCGATTATAACAAACCTTAAAACACATCATTTTTGACCCAATTACATTCGCAATCGGCGAAACAATGGGAATTTGGTGCACCGTTGATATAAAATCGGACGAATAAAATAAATAAATAAATAAAATATAAGGGAACTATATCAAAATCTGAACCGATTTTCTCCAATTTCAAAAGGGTTCGTCCTTGTGCCAAATAAGTGAGCTGTGCCAAATTTCATCTCATCCCCGTATTTTGTTTGCAATTTTAATTTAACAGATGGGAGGACGGAAATCGACTTAGAAATTTACATATTCGACATATTTTCAAAAGTAACAATGTATATATCTCATTTTTTTTACTTGTCACAAACATATGCACAAAGACATAATAATACCACTCTATGGTAAAAAAGATCTTAACACTCTGAAACATACAGAAAATTCTATGCAGGCTACTCGAAAAAATTTACCTATATTTGTAATTTGTAGTAGAGAGATTTGACGTCCAATATGAACTTAATGTACCAAATTACAGCCCCTTCTGTTGAAAAAAAACACGCTCACATTCCACAAAATACCGAAAATTTGGATCTATATTTAGCATTTTTAGTGGAGCGTTTTGAACTCATGCCTAAAGAAAGTGGGAACCTAATAAAAACCCAAAGTTCTAAATTGCAGTGAATTTTTGTAAAGAAGACTAAAAACCAAATAAAATCCGAAAATTGAAATATGCATTCGAATTCCGGATAAAATACAACTCTAAAATTCATTTAGAAAATTGAACCGATATAGCCCATACGGATATGTTTAAATCGTCATAAAATGTTATGCTGTTTATAAAACACAACTCCTTAAACAATTTTGGCAATCTATCTCAATTGGTTTAGAGGCTAGAGTGATTACAACAAACATACGGATATGTTTGATCAGCATAAAATTCTATGACGATTTAATTTTTTACAAGAATATATATAATTTTAATTTTCAATGAGTACAAAGTAATAAGAGATAGGTTTTAAAAAACTTTACAAGAAATTTTTAATTTTAAGTATAAGAGATGCCAGTGTATTAAAGAAGGATGGCTGATTTTTAATCTCGTTCGTTTTGAAGGTTTACGCCACATAACTACCGATGTGCTTGTTATTTTGTATTCCGGTAAAAAACAGAAAATTGAATCAATATAGGTTAATGGTTTGTCATTGCTAATATAAAGGCCTTTCCCTATTTTATTTTTGTTGGTGGTATTTGGCGCATATTCCAACCGTATTCCATTTTTTGTGTGGTAAACAACTTCTAAGCTGATCATATCCATCATTGGTTATATATTTCCATATACTTTTTGATGACCCTAACCTGATTTTCCTGGCGATACAGGATTCGGCATTTCGGGTGTTCAGAAGATGAAATATTCCTTGGCAGAAAATATTTACATAGGACAAGGTTTTGATATAGCATCCATATTCGCTATGTTAAATATCTTTATGGAATATTTCAATTTTTTATTCTCAGAGAATAAAAACATCGATGTAGGCAATTAACATATTCTATCATGTTTAAGGGCACCACAAACCAAATCAGTACCACTTAAAATATTTTTGAATATTATACTTTTAAAACAAAAATTCAATTAATATTCCAGAACTTGCCAACTCCAGAAAAAGTCCTTTTACAAAGCAATATACGGAAATGATTTTACGCTAAATGGTGGAAACATTTGTTTTACTACGGGAACTCGAATTTTGAATACAGAGTCTGTCTAAATTTGGATAAATTTTGAATAGTTTACAAACTATAGGTAGTCGAAATATTAAACGTAAATATGTATATATTTAAATATATGTGTAAATATAAATATATAGATTAGACATAAATATCTAAATTTTGAAGTATGTTTTCTCATTAGAAAGTGGTTAAATATATATGGAAATTATGGTCAATATTTTGAAAATTTAATTCAGTCAATTATGTTCGAAATGGAGAATTTAGAATTCCAGAAAAAAAATCTGGTATTCCAGTGGATATATTAAAATATATATTTAATAGACAGAACATAAATCGACTTCGGTTGTATGGGAGTTTATAGTCGTTATGTTGACATTTCTTTTAAACGCCACTTCAAGCTATAACTCCAACCTATAATGAAAAAGCCATGGCATAACTATACAAGGTAGTCTCATTTGCGAAATTTATAATGGCAACCCTTCTTAATATGAAATTCATATATCATTTTAAAATAAAAAGTGAAAAATAAATACAATAAAATGTTACGCACGGCGATTGGAAAAATTTCAACAAATTAATCGAAGGAAGATATTTTTATTTAAATTTTGTTTGTTGGAGAGAGGGGCAAGGGGAATAGAAATGAAAAAAATTGCTCGTACCGACAATTTTCTGGCAATTCGTTTTGTGTATTTCGTATTTGTTGACATTTTATATAGATTTAAATGTGAAAAAACAACAAATAGAAAAATATTTTGGAAACCGAATTGCCTTGTATAAACGCATGAAGCAAGTTCAAAAGAGAACGACAAGAATTGCCGCAAGTAAACTCGTCTAATCT